TCGTACTGAACATGTACAAGTGAAAGCAAACTTCCGGATTGATTGGCGCCCGACACGCACAATCCTATCTTATCCGAGTTGAAAACCAAGTTGGAATGCTTTTCGAATAGAATGCTTCGGGCCGAAGGAGAAACTGTGTGTTCTAAAACGGTAAAGTTAATCCTACAGTGGACTAAAAGAGGGTCTTCGTGCACTTGAGCTTCTGTTCAAGATGCAGAGGGTAAAAAATTGGGCTCAAACAAGCCCACAATCTTTTCTTATGTCAAAATAACATCATTTTCTATTTTTAGGTGATTCTGCCAATTCCCTTGATGTGATAACTAATTCATTCTCCATTTTAACTTGTCCACCATTTATGTTAATAAATTCAATGAATATGTCTTTAATGGGGCAAATATGAAATGCGCACCCCGAATCAAAAATTCATTCTCGATTTTCTTGTGGTCACAAAGGTCACTCTAGTGTTAGCTGATGCTTCATTATAATAATGCAACAGCAACTCCACCTTCGTTTTGTAGAGCATTTTTCATATATCTATTCTCTTCAACGGTCTTTGATCAGATGGCCCGTTTTATCATAGTAATATTCTTTACTTTTGACTTATTCGTAGATTTCTTTTATTTAGCCTTTCCAGAGTGATTCTTTCTCTTATTTCGGTTATATTCTTTACCAGAATTGTTGTTATTATTATTGCTATTTCCTTTTGAAAGAGTTTTCGCCTTTTACCATTAGGCTTTCTGCATTATAGGTTTCCCTTTGTTCTATTTTAAGCTCTAGTTACTCTATTCTTCAAAGAAGCGTGAATAATATGGAAAAAGCTGCGCCCTCTCATGCCCCCCGTGTGGATTTTTCATGAATAAAATAATCTCGACCCGCATATTGTGTTGTGTCAATCCCGTGGACACTGTAGAACGGCTCAAATAATATCAACAGTCAACTCCTCTCTCTCATATTGTAAAGCATTTTTTAATATCTTTATGCTTTTCACCTAAGGCATCTAGTAATCCAACTACCAGCTGATCGCTAGAAATATTTTCTTCACAATTTGTTAAAGTCATGTGTTATCTTGTTCAATCTTTTCATATTATTTTCTATATATGCACTTGGATCAAGCTTGAAATTGTGTTTGAAAGCTCGTTTGATTCTCATTTTTATCAAAATATATTTTTTTCTATCTTCTTTTTAACCACACATTCTTCATTAAAATAATATTACACGTAAATCAAATTTTTTCTTATTTTTCATCGACACATTCTCCATCAATCTATTATACTAAAATTCATTTTCCATAAAAATAGGTGTCAGACACCCTCTGAATAATTGGCTCCTGAATGGTATGATGATAATTGATCAAAAGCAATTTTAGTTTTGGCATAGTGCTCATACGTCCTATTTAGTACATTTGATTAGATTAAAAGATTATGTGGTTGAGTTAATTGATCCGATTCACCAGTTATCATTGAAAAGATGTCAACTCATCGGTCCAATTATAATGACTATAAACTCGGATATCTTATTAAGAACCTTTTCATCTAATTGATACTTGACAACAATGCAAGTGTCAACAAAGTATCAAAAATCAATATACAAATAGTAAAGTTTTTTTTATTAATCGAATTTCGATCTCACCAACTATTGCACTCCAATTTTGATAACTATGCTGAAACTACGGCACAATTTATTCAATTATTTGTTGTGTCACCAACTCTTACAAAGTTCTGGTAACTTTTAACATCTTAAGAAGATCATTTAACATCTTAAGAACAAAATATCTGCCCTAAAGTAAATATTACGTAAACGTAAATAATTTAGTAGGTATACTTGAAAGGCACCCGATGGGTTATTTTCAGTATCTATCATCATCTTGGTTGAGGAATTAAATTTCAAGACAATCTTTTAGAGGACCCCACAAATCCGTATTTGGATGAAATTGCCTAAATATCATCCATCCTGTTTGTTTGATTTTTTATTTTTGATTTTTTTTTCATTGAAAGAGAACCCTTTTATTTTCTACATTAAGACTTGTTGTCTTTCTATAGGATTCATTTTACTGACGCGATTCATCACTACTTTAGTGGCTCGGTCAGTGCTCAGCCTGGAATACAATCATGAATTTGAAAGTACCAAAAATTTCTAGAGGCATTACCATAAAAAATCTCCTTGTGCTTCAGAACTCCATAGTAACAATAAAGAATGCGCTATTGCGGGTCAAGGGCTCCTCCCTCCCCTTCTTCAAACTTTGATTTGTATTTTTCAAACAAAGGCTAAGAGGAAGAAAAAAAACACACACACACACAAGAGAGGGAGAAAATATTTCTTTTGAAATTTTCCATTTTTTTTCCGAGTTCCTTAAAAATGAATAATCAAATGGATTCCTACAAAATCCTTCAAATTGGAGCCAGATCTAGTGTATCATAAGGGATTTGCCTTTTTTATTGATTCCTACGGATTGGATGAGAATTTGATTCCACGAAAAATTGAACAAAAAGCTGCCGAATTGGCCACTTGAATTTCTTCCGTTTCATCAATTTTGTTCGGATCGAAAGGAAGTGCTAAATAATTTATTTCTTCTAGGCACGGCCATACATAACATAGAAATTACCCTTGAGCTAGAATTAGACTTAAAAAAAATAAATAAATTAAATTGAGCACTCGAAGTCCAGACAAATCCGTCCTTGCTTGTTAATTATTTTTAAGGAGGTACGACGTATTACCATAAATGAAGAAGGTCAAATTGTATCGTTCGCAATTTCGTTACTCCAACAATGCAAAAAATAAAAATAAAAAAGTTTTACAATTATTTTGTCCACAAACCGTCGACATAGTTAGCAAATACAAGTACATTAACATCAACAAGGAAAACCCTTATCACATCATTCATGAATCATAACTGAGGGTGAGAATTTGTGTTCGTGAACATTTGGCATGTGAATTATTATTATCCTTTTGATTTGGCACATGGGAGCTATTTCTAGTGTGCGTGTGTGTGTGAAAATGTAGCCATTTTGGCTGGGGTGGGACATTGCAAGCTGTCAGCATGCAGATGGGTTCAATTGGTGATTGCAAGTGGGGAAAAGCATTGGCTACAATTGAATTGATTTTTCTTGTCCTTGTACCAAGAAGGATCGTGAAGGGGTATATATATATATACACACACACAAAATTAAATAAATAAAATTGCAAACCCCGACATCACAGCGACGAACATTATTAGCTCTTGTTTGGTGAAAATTAAAATCGAATTTTTAGTATTATTTTGATAAAAGTTGATCAAATGTATTATTAAAAAGTTGTATACCCCATAAAATATGGAGTTAGAAATTAAAATTAATTGTTGACTTAGATTTAAATTAATATTTAATTTTGATTTTAATTTTTGCCAAACGGGAGCTAAAGTTGCTTTCGGAAATGATCATAGAATAGTTAAATGATTATGCGTACTAAGAACTTAAATAAAGAAGGATAAGATGTTGCAATGCTTAAAAAGGCCGTTAAATTGCCGTATGCCACTAATTTTTGAAGTGTGAAAACTATTTTCTTCTCTCTAATTTTATGAATAAGCCATTGTAATAGAATTTTTTGCCCACATACTCGATATATACAGTACTAACAACAGATAATTGGGTATGAATATTTATTTTTATTTTTATTTTTATTTTTTAAAACAGTTCAATAACAAAATGTCACATGATATTCAATTAAGGAAGTGGGAAAATGATTCTGACAATGTAGCATGGTTGCTAATTTTATGCATGCTAAACATTTGGGCCCACTTTTAATTTCTAGTGGCAAGGCATCTAGATTATTTTCCTCCTCTCTCTTTGGTTTTAGTTTAGATATTTTATTTGGATTTCTGTTTTTTTCTCTTTTTTTTTTTTTTCAACTAATAAGATAAGAATGATAAAAGTGAATTATGATTATGGTGAGTGTATCTTATCGATTATAATCTACCATTCAATCATGCCCCTACCTTGAATTATTTTATTTTGTAAACAACATAAATAAAAGTTGAACGAATTAAAATTATCATATTTACACCAAATACCGTGCCCTTGTTTGAGCCACGTTATTTTTATAAAAATACATTTTTGAATAGTATATTAATAGGAAATGTGTGGGTAAAAAATAAGAAAAATTTTTGAATTTATGCTTAATATTATTTTATTGAATAATATGATTGAACTGATGTTAAATTACTATTTAAAAAAATTTATATTTTTTGAAAGAACGTGGTTCAAATAGGCCTATATTATTCCATTTTTTCTTTACTCGGGTCAAATTCGGTGGACCTACACACCCTGTAAGGTGTATCATATGACTAGATGTATCCTTATCTTTATTATATGTAAATGAATAAGTATCCGAGGAAAAAAAAGGAAAAAAAAAATAATAAATCCTGCAAGAAATGGATTTACACAGTGATACGCTATCAAGAAAACCAATATCCAGAAAGCCACGCAGAATCCAACGGTTGAGGAACAGCCATTCGCGGAAACTCGGAGCCGCTATTGCCCAATACTTGGGAATGTAACCAGCCATGCCCACGCCATTTACCTTACTCTTCTAGTCAATAACTAAGATAAATTTCTACCCAGTTCTCATATTTGAAAAAAATACTACAATATGCTTGTTTGGCCTTCATTTTTGAAAAAATTATTACATTATGCATGTTCGGCCTTCATTATTTTTATTTTTATCAAAGCACATATTTCATGGGATTCGTAGCTTTTATTGATTTACTAATCACATATTTTATTTACTTTTATCAAATTTACTACAATTCTGAATTTTATCTAAATCAAACGGGGATTAAGTGCCATATGCCAAAATTTGACTATTTAATTGATATGTATATTTAAATAGTTGGAATTCAATAGTAAAGAAAAATACTAAATTTTATATTTAGAAAATATCAAAAATTTTATCTTTCTATTTGTGTATTTACCCTTCTTTTTCCTAGAAATTTTATCTTTACTTTATATATGTACCCTTCGTTCTTCTTTTCAAACCTCATTATTCTCTCTTTCTCTCTACTCCCTGTCTCTAGGACTGTTTCTTGGAGCCAAAGGAATATCTCCCCTTTCTTATTATTCTTCACCTCCAAAAACTTTCCTGAAAATTCCATCATTCCCTTGTAATTAAATTTTGATATGAGTTGCAATGGATGCCGAGTACTTCGAAAGGGATGCAGTGAGAATTGTATTCTTAGGCCTTGTTTACAATGGATTGAAAATTCTGCAGCCCAAGGTTATGCCACTGTCTTTGTAGCCAAGTTCTTTGGCCGTGCTGGTCTCATCTCCTTCATTTCGGCCGTCCCTGTAAATCAAAGGCCTGGTATTTATTCAACTTCTCGCTGCTGTCGTGAATTTTTAATTCCTTTAATGTTTTTCTATCCTTGGCCATGATAAAATTGCTTCTGTACATGTATTTGTGCAGCTGTTTTCCAATCCTTACTATATGAAGCTGCTGGAAGAACAGTGAACCCTGTAAATGGCGCAGTGGGGCTTTTATCCACGGGAAACTGGCACGTTTGCCAGGCGGCGGTTGACACCATCCTCCAAGGAGGCACACTGCGGCCGATCTCGGAGTTTGTTAGTGGTCCACCGGAGCTTGATGAGCTCCAAGATCCTAGCCTAAATTTAAGGCTCAAGGTGCAAAAGCACCGTCGTTTACCCGACGAACTTGGAAATTTAACAGAAGTAGCTGATCTTGATCTTAATTTAACAACTGGGTTTGAGAGTAAAAATTTAAGCTCTTTGTTTGAGAAGAGGCGACTCGGTAGCCCTTCAATGAATTCTGAAGAATCTGGGACAACTACATGTGAAAATCAGCTACCAACTAAACCAAAGCTTCTAAATTTATTCAATTAGGTGTTGGAAAAGCTGTAAAATTGTTGTTATTAGCATTAGGTGTATTCCTTGTCCTTTTTTTTTTTTTTAATTTATATTTTTTTTAGAATTTCCGGCGAGTTTTTGTAAATTATTGGCAAAAGATTTCCCTATTTCTCTTCTTGATTATGAGTAGAAGGAAGGGAAAAGTAAAAATCGATGATTTCTTCTTCAATTCTATGGATAATCCTCTCTCCATTTCTATCTTTTATTTATTTATTTATTTATTTTTTCAAATACTAATGTCGATTGAATTTGAATATATGATTTGATTTTAGCTTTAAATTAAAATTTATTTTTATTCTCTTTTATTTTCAACAACACAATCTTTTATAAAATAATATTACAAGTAAATCGAAAATTTTTCCTTTTTTTCAACCACCCATTCTCTCCAAAAATTTATTTTTAAATACTAATGTCACTTGAATTTGATAGATAATTTGATTTTAGCTTTACATTAAATTTTTTTTTATTCTCTTCTATTTTCAATAACACAATCTTTTATGAAATAATATTACAAGTAAATTGAAAATTTTTTCCCTTTTTTTTTTCAACCACTCATTCTCCCCAAAAAATATTATTCCATCCATTAAAATTTGAAATAATAAGGACCAAACGGAGGCTTAATTTTATCTTATTTATTATTGTGGCATGAATTTGCAATTATATTTTGTCAAGTAGATAAAGACTTTTACCACTAATCTTGAGTAAAAAATCGATTGGATATAATAGAGTAATGCTATTGGCAGTCGTCCTACCCACATACACATGGTAGATGGTTATTTAATGCATTAATGTTAATAATTGTTTTATTGACTCATCTATAAATATCTATTTGTCATGTGTACGTCACGTAAAACGACTGCTGTAATGAATGACTACAAATAACATTATTCCATATGATATGGGGCATAATAAGATCATCCAAAATTTAAAATGAGAATTTTTCTTATGAATTATTCATCAATTATATTAATTACATTTATCTTTATTTTTTCATTGACTATGGTTAGGTCATATTCCCTTCAAAGTTTTGTATTTCTTCTTATTCTTTTTCTGGGTATTCGTAAATATCTCAGCACATTTGGGCATAAGAAAAATTTAGATATTGTTAATTAGCAAATGAAATCAAGAGAAATAATTAAGGTTATCTCACGCCTTGCTGACAGTCGCAGTGTGGGGATTCGATTTTTGAAACATGGAATTGGACTCCTTGTAGGCGCAATGTACATGCAGCTCTTATTCCCTGGCCTACTGGGGTACATTCCACGATTTACTACCCTCACAAACCTTTAGGACGGGACGGTGGGGACCCTCAAAGTTGAGGTTCGACCTTTTTTTAATAATTAAGGTAAATTAAGATGATCATGAATCATGAGTAAAAAAATTTTGGGATTATTTCCACCTTTCATGTCTAATCTTCTTGTTCTATCTTCCTAGTTTACATCAATATTTCGGAGACAAAACTCACCATCAATACGTATCATCATTCACCATTTTCTTCGGCAACTTCATTGGCATTTTTCATGGAAATATCTTTTATCGTTACCACACAAAATGCTTGTACTTATTATAAATTATACACCAGAAAACGTTAAAGAAATATATGAAGAAGCAACCTCAAAAATCCAATACAGTTGGAAGGGGGTCAAACTTTGATCAGCTTACACCTCAGACTGGTCTAAGCATTACTCAGCAATTCATAGTTATCCAAAAAGCATGTGAATTAATTGAAAATTTTTCCTTCTCCATTTTTTTTTCATTGAAAACACAAGTTGGGTTTGTGAATCTGCATGCCTTAGCCTTTACTACCAAAATAAAAAAAGAGATGGCTTTTGGTAGGGGTAAAGAGTATGTGTGTGTATATATATATATATATATATTCTATTTTTTGTATGTGTAATTCACTTTATAAAAATGTGAAGAAGACATTGCAAATTGGGTTGTCGGCATAGTTTTTGGATGTCGTTTCATTTTAAAATTGTGTAAATTATTGAGAGGAATAGATTTTTCTTTCTCCCCCCACATTGGGGCATCTTTTTGATGGGTTCCACCACGAATTTGATTTATTTATATACTTTATTCATTAACCAAAGCCGCACCGCGCATCGCCGCATTTGTAGAAGTCACACGTGGGACCTTCTCCCCAAATTTTTGGGTTCGTTTCCACTAAGCTGACGAAAACTCGATTAATTAGTTTTAACTTTAGTGTCTTATTAAAATATCATGCTTAGAAATCACTTTTTTAAAATGGAAATTTTCTTGATCTTATCCCTTTTCTTTTCTTTCTCCATTATGAGTTCGGTTTACATTTTACCCCGAGCATGCATGTCAAACCAAAGTCAAAATAAGGTCGAGGAACTCGACTTGTGTATCTATTTTGTTAGAATTGAAATCTTATCCATTCGGTATTGTGTTGGCACACAAGTTTGCGGCGAACCCACTTTCCTACAAAATAAGAATAGGTAAAAATCTTGGAAATTTCGAAAGAAGTGTGGGTGGGATTTATGGTTTCGCTTAACCGTCGCCTAATCAATTTATCCTAGAGCCAATTAACGAATTACTCATTTACTATGTTAGACTGGATCTTCCAATTTTAGTTAATTACCTCTCTCGAGCGGAATTAACCCTAATTGATTGATTTAACCTACTATATCTCCATGTCGATTAAAACAAACAACCGCATTTGTGAAAGTAATTCAATGGGTCATCTAAGACTTGGGGTATATCTCTACCTCCTAAAACAACCTAGGGCATTAATTATTTTGGTCAAGAATGCACGACAATCTCTCAATAGTTGCACAAATCATCAATTCAATCATATATTAGCCACATACATGAAGAAAATTTAAGCACAATAATAAATGCAAAATAACATAGTAATTAAAACATTAAATGATGAATATTGACATTGAAGAAACTTAGGTCAACGTACATCATAAAATCCCAACATTAAACACGTAGCCCATTGCAAAATAGAAGCACAAAAATGAAATAAAGAAAGAACCTATTACAAAATGAAGGAGATAATAGAAAAATACAAGATAGTGGAAGAAAATCGTCTCTTGAATATATTCTTGAAGAAATGAGGAATTAAAATCTTTAATATTCCTTGTAAACTCCCAATTTTTGCTAGAAAATTTTCCTTCTTAATACCCCCAAACTTAAGTTCTTGCTCGTCCTGAGCAAGATTATCTACTAACACAACCATATAAAATGAGATAAGAATCAACATATTAGATAGCTTGTTAAAAATATCAAGAAGTGTAAAATTGTATAATTAATACACAAATATGCCCAAAATATGCTAGCAAAAATAATTTAAGCTTATCCAATATTCGATCGGTGTGTGGGTGCCACGTCACTTTTAATCATTATATAAACTAGTAAAAAAATTGTCAAGACGGAAATATCTTCAAATTGGCTCCAATTGGACCCTTTGTGGTCAAATATTTTCTTTCTCACTTGTGAAATTCACACCAAAATAGATATTTCTTTTACTTCTCGAGGTGTAAATTTAAGGTTGTTCTCAATCACTCATTTCTTTTTCCGCTTTAGTTTGGTTGGGTCTAACCAGCAATCTCAACATCTAGTCATGTGATGATTCTCCACTAGTGAGTGCTTCACATTCAATCTTATACTAAGTAATTCAAGCCCACTAGTTATCTAAGCCCAATTATCAATAAAAATTTATTTTTAGTCGAATCTCATGTTTTATATCACTGTCTTAAGCTTTCTTCTTGACCGTTGTAGCGAACTTAGATCGATAACTCCTTGACTGTTTAGACCAAAGGGTACCGAGTTTCAAAATACCCCTACGGACTTAACAACTCGAGTAAAAAAAGCTACGAAGTAAGGCTCAAAATTCAACAAGTGCAATAGCAATTTTTTTTTTTTAGCATAACAAAAATGGGGCTTAGATTCCAACATATGGTCATTACCTAGCTTATACTTGGCACAAGACACTCCACACAAATATTTCAACATGTACGAAATCAACACACTTCTAGATAATATCCTTCACCCGCTTGACCACCCCCAGATTTATCTCACAATGTAGTAAAGTGAAAGAGAAGAGAATATAGGTTGATAAAAATTTTCAATCAACTCAAAACCTAGTTCTTACCAATTCAAAATCTCTCCGTCAAACAAAAATTTTCCACATCTAGATAATAATTAATTATGACAATTGTGCTCAAAGTAATTCAAAATCTTACAATATATAAGCAATTTTTTTGAAAAAAATTAGGCACAAATAGCATGATTGGTCATGCATAGCGCATGAATCAATAACAATTTCAAACATCCAAACCATGTTAAGCCGGCAAGGCTATCTAACATATCAATACAATATCACCAATTCAAGCACAATCACCCCCAAACCTAAACCACACATTGTTCTCAATGTGTAAAGAACAAGATAAAGAGGAGAGCGATAATGAAACTTCCCCAGTTGTATATTTGTGAAGAGGTACCAATGCTTGACTCGGACTTGTGATGCTTCTAATGAATTTTGGCAAGTAACATTCTTGTACACAATTTACCCCCAAACTTGTGAGAAACCATGATATGTTGGACTTCAAAAATTTCCTACAAAAAATGATAGCTAATTAGATAAAAGCATAAAAATATATAAAAGTAAATAAAAAGCTTAAAAATTAAAAAGTTGGGTTGCCTCCCAACAAGCGTTTTTTATAGTCTTTAGCTCGATCATGGGCACCTAAAGAAGGCTTCGGATGCCTGATCCATTTTTCTTCTTTTGACTTTGCTCCACTTTTCATTCATCTCCAAACCTCGACATTGCCCTTTTCAATGTAATAGGATTTTCCCATTCTATCCTATACAAACTCAACAATGTAGATTTCTATCTCCTCATCAGATTTAATCACAAAATCAACTCCTAGCAATCAATGAAATCGAACGAATGTACTTTGATTTCATCTTCATTGATTTCTATATCCTCAATCAGTTCCTTTGTGATTAAATTATCATTCACTTTAAGCTCCTCTACAATCACTGATATTTCTTCGGATTGAATGATCGATCCACAATTTAAATCTATGGGCAATGAGAGGTCGGTCTCATTGACTCCTTCAAGTGGATTGTATCCCCATTGTTGAAATTCATCCCAGTACATGTAATCTCCCATAAGCATATCACTTTCATCCAATTTGGCAAGCTTTTGGAAATACTTTGCA